TAATTGGATGAAGAAAGTGATGAACGTGATTAAATGGTGATGGTGAATTCCATCTGATCCGCTAATATTTTTCACTTCGCTACGTTCTTTCTGATTCTTCCTCCTTTTATTTTTTATCGATTTTTTTTTGTTTTTTTTAATATTTCTTTTTTATGTTTGTGGAGCATAGTTGAACGGGTCAGAAAGCCCACTAACCCGACCCGACCCGGCAGAAAGCCAGTGAAGCTCATGTTTTTTATTTTTATTTTTGCCCCCTATTCCTAACAGTAAAAATGGTGAAACAGATACCAATTTGATTTTTACTGCTGTTCTTTCGAAAAGTTTTTATTCCATGAAAAATATTAAATTGGCAAAATTCATTATTTAAATTTACTTGAACAAAAGGAAAATTATACTAACTGTAGAATTATTAATAATCTTTTTTAATAAATTAAACGAAAAATAAAAGAATTAATTTTTTATATATGAAAATAGAATAAAAGACTTTATTTGAAGTACAACTTTATTTCATCTCTAAGTTTTATTAAAACAAACTAAAATCCTCTCAAATCCTTTTCGAACTCTCGTGAATTAATCGAGCAATCCGACAATGATTTGAGATCAAAAAAAATGCTTCTTTTGTGTAAATTCAGGGTCCATTTGGATGGAGGGATTTGGAGAGGTATTTGATTTGGGGAATGGATTTGAAATGACTCCAATTTTGGAGTCATTTGAAATCCATCACTATTGCTCCAAAATCAACTAAAAAGGAGGGGTAGGGATTTGAAATCCATCTCCAAATTCCTCAATCCAAACAAGTCCGAGGGATTTGTTATTATGGATTTGAAATCCCTTCCCCAAATCCCTCCATCTAAATGCACCCTCAACGTTTTATTTTTTCCATTGCAAGTGAAATTATATGAAATGCAAAGTTTCAATTTTTTTTTTATTTCACACAATTCAATAAAAAAAGAAATCATTTCGTGTAGGATTAGATGAAATGCAACAATGCATTCCTATTGGATATTGAATATTATTTTATATTTGTTATTTCCAGCTCTAGTTGTTTATTGTTAAAGTTGCAATTCAGTAAAAAGCAACTTCGATTCTTGTAAATAAGTGAGTAGCACTTTTTTCTGATATTGCTTTGTATATATAGTTGTACTTTTACATTTGGTTGTTAAGATAAAATTAGGCAAGATAAGATTAAATAATTTAATGAAACCTCATTATTTTATTGGAGCTTGAAACATCCAACAAAAAAAACTCATTAGAAGGAAAGATAAGCCAAGATAAGGCAAAATAAGCCATTATTATAATTTTGGTGGGTCGACCCGGCAATTATTGAGGATACCAAACATCAATTTAAGTTTAATTATTTAGTTAATCATGCCTTGTTTTAGCAACCAAACGGGACCTAAGTTAGCATATTAACAAAACAGTGAATATTAAAATACGAATAAAAATGTATCTTCTTCCTCTCTTCTCAGGGGTCTTCACTAAAAAACCCTAATTGTTGGTTTCCACAATTCCGTATAATCCCACACAAAATGCATTAAAAAAAAATAAAAAAAAAGGCCGACAAAAGTGTGGTTTTTACCAAAAAAATTGATTGGTTTCGGCCATATTGATAATTTTGGTGTTGTAATTGATATTATTGGAGAAAGAAAGTGACGATTTGCTGGAATTGTTTTTGACATATTAATAATTGTTGCTCCGGCCAGGGTTCGATTTTCGGCTCAACCCTCAATCTCCGAGTCCTCGTCCAAGATCCAAGTGGGGCCTCCAAACACTCACGGCAACCACACACACGCATACACACACAGTGTATCCCAACGAAAAACAAAGAAAACGAAACCAAATTCAAACCCTAATCTTACCGGTTTATCCCTAAAGAAGTAAGCTCAAATTCATCGAAAAAAATTGTGCTTTTCTTCTAAAAAAATGGTTCTCTCTTTCACTCTGATTTTTCATCTCAAAATACACAAAGTATTATCTTTTCATTTTTCTCGTTTTTTTCGTCCCTCACACAGAAAGGAATATGGTGCACTTATACGCCCAAATCATCCACCAAACTCACGAAAAATCAGACAACAAATGTTCAAGATTTGTTGAGGATAAGAAGAAAGATTTGTTGAGAGAAAAAAGGGGCAGATTGAAAACATATGCCGAAAAACAACGAGATAGAAAACGGTGAAGAGAGAGAGAAAGGGAAAACCTAGTGAGATTGGGCTGACTTTAATTTTGGGCTCAAATTGTGTGGGCTGCTCGTAAGTGGGTTGCAAGATGGATTGATAAATTGACCATTCACAAAGAATATATTCGGGCCACACTCTACAAATCTCCATCTGGCCCAAATGGTATATCGAGTCATTTCACAAATGGCTCCCCTTAAATCCCCCGGCCCTGATGGCCTCCTCGTTATTTTCTTCACTAAATATTGGCACATCCTAGGCTCAGATGTGTTGTCTTGTGTCCTTTACTTCCTTAATCATCACAAACTCCCCCCCGAGCTAAATTATATCTATATTGTCTTGATCCCCGAGGTGAACAATTCAGGGAAAAATTACGGATTATAGACTCATTAGCCTATGCAACGTGATTTACAAATTTGGCTCTAAAGTGATTGCTAATCATTTCAAACTTGTTCTAAATGACATAATCTCACAAACCTAGTGTTTCAGTCTGGCGACTCCTCTGGACTGACGGAATGTTATACACGGGATTCTCAGTTTCCGAGTAGTGGACAACCAGGATAAATACTTGGGCATGCCAACATCGATGGGTCGAACAAAGAAGGAAATTTTCTCATATCTTCGGGATCGGGTTTGGGCTAGAATTAAAGAGTGGGGAGAGAAATAACTTTCGCAAGTCGGAAAAGAAATCCTTATTAAATATGTACTACAAGCAATCCCAGCCTACATTATGAGTTGATTCTTTCTCCTGACCGGACTTGTTTTGGAAATTGAGAGAGTCATACGTCGGTTTTGGTGGGGCAAGGGAGAATCTCAAGGCATGGCGTGGGTCTCATGGAAAGACTTGTGTAAATTGAAGGAGCACGGTGGACTTGGATTTCGGGACTTACGGACTTTTAATGTGGCCTTAATACTGAAACAAGCGTGACGTATTTTGACTCACCCGAATCTGCGTTTGTAACGCATTATGGTTGCCCGCTATTTTACATACAGAAATCTGCTTTTAGCATAAAGTGGCAATCGGCCATCGACGACTTGGAGGTGCATTTGGAAGACAATTTTGTATCTCAAAATGGGATTTCGACGCCGGATTGGCAACGGAAATGACACCTCTATCTGGGACGACCCATGGCTGCGGGAAGGGGGAAGGTTCAAAATCCTCACATCTCGGCCAATATCAACTGCATTCCCGGATTGGGTCTCCGATTTGGTCGAACCGGGATCTAATTCGTGGGATTTGAACCTTGTGAAGACTATTTTCTGGCAGGTGGATGTGGCGAGGATACTGGGGACCCCGTTGGGGGGTCTCCACACGAAAAATATTTGGATATGGCATTACTCGAAGCAAGGAAATTACACAGTGAAATCATCATACCGTATGACTCTCAACGGGCTTGCACAATCAAATCAACGTGGAGATGGAAATCACGGGTCAAACAACGGCACTATTATTCGTGACTGGAAGGTTATTTGGCAAATGCATCTATCACCCAAGATCATACATTTTCTATGGCTCTTATGTGGGAATAGCTTACCTACCAACGATGAACTTAACCGGCGGCGTATTATTCCTTCCCCCAATGCACCAGCTGCGGAACAGCAAAGGAAACGGCGCTCCATGTCATCACAACATGCAGTGGCCTGAACTCGATTTGGTGTTGCAATCTCCATTTGGACCATCATTATACTCTTACACATCATCACCCTGGCAGTGGCTTCTCGACAAGAAATAGGCGCTAGATGATGAGATTTGTTTATGGGCGATGGTTGTTGCTTGGAAAGCGTGGGACCGTCGAAATACAGAGGTACATCAAGAAAAGGGGATACAGGTTGATGATTTGCCCCATTGGTGTCGTTTTTTTCCTTGCGAATTTCAAGTCAGCCCAAATCCGACCAGCCCCTACTTTGAACCAAGCTCATCCGACTGAATGGAAACCACCGGAAATGGGAAAGATTAAGCTTAACTTTAATGCATCAATCCGGTATGGAGAACTAGGGGGATGGTAGCTGCCGTGGCAAAGAAACCATGAAGGTCGTTGTTTCGGATGAAAAGTAATAAAGATACATGGCAATCTCAATCCACTAGAAGGGGAGGCACTTGCTTCTCATCATGCCCTTTTGTTTGCTGCCTCGAACGGATGGGAAGATATTATTCTCGAAGGGGACTCGCTCCAAGTTATTCGGGCGCTTCGTTCAAGCTGTGGAGAATTACTATCGTACGGTGCGATTATCGACGAATGTGTGTATTCTCTTAGTGCTTTTTCTAATTTTTCTTTTTCGTTTGTTAAGAGAACGGGCAACAGCATGGCCATGCTCTCACCCAATTGCACAGTACTGCTACTTTGGAAGGTCTCGAACTTCCACCGGCTTTGACTAATATAGCCTAATAAAATGATTCTTTTCTCCTAAAAAAACAACAAACAAATTATATCACACCACAACTGAGAAAAAATGCAATGTAAGTAATAAACCCCAAATTAAATTGATAAATGTAATTACTCAACTCCTAAAAGTTTGCACTATTTTTTATGTCCTGGGAAGACCCCAAATAGGACCTTGTTTGGACTACAATACATCATACAATCTCATATACATAATAAAATTAAGAATAAGTTTAAATGTAAAACAAAGGGCAGATTACGAAAAATTCTCTGAGATAATGTCTAATTAATAATATTTTTTCTCATATTCGCGTAATTATGAAAATTCCTCTATGTCCAGTGTTTGTGTAATTTTCGTAATTAGATCTTACCTTCGGGTATTTCTCATAATTTGCCCGTGAACCAAATTAGATGACATAATTCAACAATGCATTTTACACAGGTCTATGAATAAAAAGTTTACAATTCAATAAATGAGGAACTATCCTCTTTAAAAAAGAATATTGATTAAAATTAAATAACTAGCAAACACACACTCCATTTAATTTTTTTTTTATTCCATTACAAAAGCAACAAAACAGAAAATTACTAGGACCGAATAATTATCATAGTATATGAGTTTTTGAGAAGGCATAAATATAATACTATGATTTTGTAGGAGCATCCGAGGTTTGAAGCGCGGCTTTGTAGATAGCCTCGAACGCGTATTCGACACACGACTTTAACTTGTTTGGATCCATGAAACCTTTCTCCACAGTCATTGCGATTCTTAATATCCCCACGTAGCTTACGATTGTTACCGATAGGCTCTGAAAATTCAAGAATGTCAATTCATTCATCAATAAGCAAATAATTAAATAAATTTATAAGATTTGGAGTCGATTCCAACTACTCTGGAACATCAGTTGCGGGTTCTCCAATTCTCCTACAGCTGACTCGAAATAGTGATCAAATAAGGGAGACGGCTAAAATAAATACCGTTTCTTTTTCACTTCAATACCACCAACATAAAAAAATAGAAAATAAATGGTAATGACATTAATACCCTTAATAAAATCAATACCACACAAATTTTGTATGTGGTATTGATTTTCATTAAGGGTGATAATGTCATTACCTATTTATTTTTTATATTTTTATGTTGGTGGTATTGAAGTGAGAAAAAAAAAACGATATTTATTTTAGCCACTCCCTCAAATAAGTCTTAGATGCAAGATGCATACCACAAATTTGCTACGTCACAAATGTAATTTATTGATCTTTTTTATATTTAGAGTGATATTCAAATATTAAAATAAAATGGTTTCATTAGTTAAAATCATTTGTTATACGGTTACTCTTCGTATATCAACATATTCAACTATTTCAAATCTGATCATACTAAGGTGGTGTTTACAAAAGCTTTTACAAACTAATTATCTGGGTTTTTTTTATTCATAATCTATTTTTGATGTTTTCAAAATTAACTTTTGCTTCTCTTGAAATAAACAACTTTAAACTGATTTATAATGCACACATGACCGTGTTTTTTCTAATCAAGTTGATTTTTAAATCGAAAACCGAAATCTAAAACCGAAAATTGAAAGCTAAAAATCAAAAATCGAAAACTGAAACCGAAACCAAAACCGAAACCGGTATGAGATTTAATAGGTAAGTACCTGAGGAGGTCCAGCGACAGCAAAGTATAAGCCATTAATAGGTTGATTAGCCAAAGCCATTGGTTCGATTGGACCAATCAAATTCGAAATTGCCATGCTTGTGTTCTTCAGTGTTCCATGTATGTATCGTGATGCTGACTGTACATACATTCACATTATTAAATAGTTTAATTAATTAAGGAGAAAAAAAACACACATATTCTAAAATAAAATTAAAAATAAAAAATCCTAGTAAAATACTTAATGTTCGTATTCTAGATGAACAATTTAAATATGAGGGACTTTTGCATACATGAGGAGAGAATTTAGAGTAGTATTCAAAATATTTTTCAACATGATATTTTTCTAGGGGTATTCATTCGGTAATACCGTAACGAACCGTACTGGAATTCTGGTAATTGAAATTTTGGTACTTCGAAAAGTTGTACCGTTTACCGAACCGAACTACTTCGGTTCGGTACATTTTTTTACCGAATTAATTCAATTATTTCGGTTGGGTAGTGCCGCCACAACTGAAAATATATTTTAATAAATGTAACCAAAATATATTTAAACAATTAATTCTTCAATTTGACATTCCAATTTCAATAATCAGCCCTAAAAGGAAAAAAATGTTTATCAATAAATTCCAAAAAATTTAAATAATGAAAAAAATTATCAATCCAGAAGTATTTTAGCTTAAAGAATTTATAATAAAAGAAAAAAAAAATTTAAAATATTTGGTATTCGGTACTTACGGTATACCAGATATTAGTACCTGTTAGAATCCTATGGATTCTAATTGTACGAGAATTAATAAAACTTGTGCCACAAGTTTTCATATACCCTGAGCTAAAGAAGGGAAGAGTCCTTGTAGCTTTTAATTCTTTTAATTTGTCATTAATTGATTTATAATAGGAATTATTCTTCTAAAGAGTTTCCTTGTTTTGAAAATATTATTTCCTACGTAATTAAGAGTTTCCTAACCCTAATGGACTCTTTTTTCCTTGTAGGATTCTTATAACATGTAGAAGTATAAATACAGCAATACGGCGCCTCAGATCTCACGTCTTCCCAGAGAGAAAAATTTACGCAGAATATTTTCTTTACTCTCGTTTTTATTGGCGTCGTTTTGGAGAGAAGCCGATCTCTCTTTTCTTGGTTGCTGTAGCACGCCTTTTGTTGGAGAAGAAAAATTATATTTTTCCGCTCTTATTTTTGCTGCTCACGGAGCGTCTTGTTAATCGAGAGAAGATTTCAGAGAAATATTTTTTTCTCTCTCGTTTTTATTGCTCTATCGTGATACGTGATTTTCATAGAAAATATACCGGCTTCAAGGCTTGTGGTGAAGACACAGATTCAAGGAGTATCACAAGTTTGCTTCTTCTATACAAAAAGAAGATCGGTTCTTCGGGAGAGGGGCTTAAACAGATCTCGGGAGGAGATCGATCCGCCGACTGAGGGATTCAGCGTTGAAGGGAGTTCAACCGTGCGGAGCAAGGGACGTGCTGCAAATTGAAGATTTATAATTCAGCGTAGTATACAAGAACGGCGTCAACAAAGAGGGAGTCTTTGTATTTTGATTAAGTCCTATTATTGTATTCGTAAAACTAAAAATTAGTAAATTTTATTTGCAGGTCCCCGTGGATGTAGGGTACAGTTGTATCCGAACCACATTAAATTTGTGTCTCGTTTATTTCTGTTTTTACAAACTGTTTCACGAACTGTTGCAACTCTTCACGCAACAGTAACGAAAAACTGAATCTGACACAAATAATTTATATCTGCACGAAATAAATTCTAACAATTGGCATCAAGAGCCTGTCACTAGATACACTTAGTGAGATTTTGGGATTTAATTCTTTTTTTTTTTTTTTGTGCAGACATGAATAATCATCGTGAAGGCGCATTCCTACCACCTGTCTTGGGTGAATTGAACTACTCTGATTGGAAAATAAGGATGAAGATGTTCATTAAATCTATTGATGAATGGGCCTGGCGCGCGATTCTAATTGGTTGGACACATCCTACCTCAATGAATGAGTCACACGAGATCATTCAAACCCCAAAAGAGAAGTGGACTGATGAAGAAGTACGAATAGCATATTATAATTCCAAGGCAACCAATGCTATCTTGAGTTGTATCGATGAAGATCAATTCAAATTGATATCAATGTGCAAATCAGCAAAGGAGGCATGGGATGTTCTACAAGAGGCCTACGAAGGAACTACTCAGATAAACAAGTGCAAACAGACTGTCGCTGAAACTGTTGCAACAGTTGGACAGACTGTTCAGACAGAACCTAGGTATGATAAGTTGCATTCAATATCTGATAAAGGATTAACTCCGTTAAATCTTGCAGGTGATGATTGGGATTCAGAAAACAACAGCGATGATGACGTGTCATCCTTGGAAGAAATAAAGCAATGCTATGAAAAGATGTACGAAAAATTTCTTCAGGTGTGTGAGTCAAATAAATTCTTAGAAAAAGAGAAGCTTGTCCTAATTGAGGAAAACAAAGTATTGAAGGTACGAATTTCTACTCTTGAACAAAATGTTATTTCTGCTAGTAGAGAAACAGATAGCTTGAAGGCTAAATTTGCTCAAACCCAAGATGCTATTTCTAAGTTTAATACTGGTAGGGTAACTTTGAATGAAATTTTGAACCAAAATCAGCCGAATTGCGGTCGTACAGGTATAGGACGTAATCAGCTATCTAATGATGCATTGAAACAGAAAGAAGATCCAAAAAGAAAAATCAATTTTGTTAAACAATCCACTGTTTCACAAACTGTTGCGACAGTTGCACCGACACAGCCATTTCAAGGAAAAGTTTTTGTTCCTACCTGTCATTTTTGTCATGTTCCTGGTCATATACGACCCAGGTGTTTTAAGTACTTGAAAATGGTTAAAAGAATAATGGCCCGCTCACCACTTTCCGCTAAAATTGATCACATTTTTGTGTCGTCTCAAAAACCCAAGATAAAGGTTGATTTAGTGAATAAAACTCAACAAAAAATCTGGGTAAAGAAGTCTGATCTTAATTGTTTATCTGCCATTACTTCTTTAAACTCATGTGATGATAGTACTAACTGTTCCAACAGTTCTGGTGACAAAGCTAGTTTGGGGAATAAAAAACTTGGTAATCTGAATTGTGATAATTTGTATGTGAAAAATAAGTTTATGAATCCAATTCAGCATTCGAGAACTAAGCTTACTGATATTTGTCATCTTTTCATAAGGGGCTTGGTCGAAAAGGGGGTTGTCTCAATTGATTATGCTGCAACGGAGAATGAATTAACTGATGCTTTTGCAAAAACCCTTGATGCACAGAAATTTGATTCCTTGCGAAAATCGCTGGGAATTTATGTTGTTTAATCTGATGCAGTTGCATGAACTGTTGCAACAGTCTGTGTGTCCAGACTTGCAACTTTTAGAGGTAGGACACTTCATATGTTTTTGCATCTCATATAGGACCTGCATTAAGCATACTGCATATGATTGAGACAAATGTGAATTTGATACTTCGTGTATTTCTAAATTTTGTGGGGTAGAACTTCACCAATTCCCAAAATGATTACTTAAAAGGCTCCAACTTATTTATTTCTCTGAATAGTCTTGTCATGGTTGGATGTTTTTATAGGGAAAAGCTGCCTCTTTTAATGAGTGAAAGCTACTCTTGAACTACTATTACTAATATATATATCTACAACCATTTGGTCAGTGAATAGTTCGAAGCCTTTTTGAGTCGAGCCAGTAAATCACGTGGCCGAAAACTCGCTACAAGGCTCAATTAGAAAGCCTAGGGGACTACACATTGCACGGCCAATATAAATTATAATATATATGGTTAGTGAATAGTTCGAAGCCTAGTTGAGTCGAGCCAGTAAACCACTTGACCGAACACTTACTACAAAAGCTCAATTAGAAAGCCCAGGGGACTACACATTGCACGACCAGCATAATCTCGTTCCTTTTAATTGCTCTGTTTTTCATGAGAAAAAGCTACCATTAGACGTGTGTGTACGCTACCTAATAAGAGCATCTTTGTGTTTGACTTGGGATTATTAAGTTTGTTGGTTGCATTGGCAGTCGGATTTTTGGGGATTGTGCTTATCGTGAATGTGAAGATAAATCCCATATGTTTTGTTTGTCCATGCAGTATCCTATTCACATATGTCTCTTCACTCATGTCTATTTCTCATGTTTACTTCTTGTCTTGCATTAGGCATTATTTAAAAAAAAAAAAAAAAAAAAAAGAGACGGGATTTTTGTTTATGTGCCGGTTAAATTTGATTTTTTTTGTTGCAACCGGATCGATTGGGCTTACTCCTCACATTTCCACGTTTATTATGAAGTTTGGCAAAGTCTGTAGTCTTTGCTATTTAATGTTGGATTTGATATCACTATTCTTTAATTTTTGCATTGCAATTATCGTGTGGTTTTGAGTTTGTGATTTTGTGATTTTGTGTGCACGTTATGTATAGTGATTCTTCTCACTTACTTCCAAGATTCTCTCTTCGTTTTGATCTTTTTGTTAAGTGTTTGAACAGCTTGCTTGAATCATCAAGATCATTAGTCCATGTTGAGTTATCTCTGCATGGTGATTGCCCAGAAAGGGGGAGAAAAGAACAGGAGAAAAGAACAGTAACGATGGCATGAACACAGGGGGAGTTCCGACAACTGTTGCGACAGTTGCTGGAACAGTGCAGGAATGCAGGGGGGTTCAGACAACTGTTGAAACAGTGCATGAGACAGTTGCTGGGCAGAAATATAGGACAAATAATAAGCATTGTGAAGAGAAGTTGTTTCTGCTACTGCATATCCTTTTTATCTCGTGCTTATCTGAACGAATTATCTACTTTTATTTTGGAACTATGGTTTATTTACAGTTTACACTATCTGGTGAACTGTTTGATAAACTGTTGCAACAGTTTATATGTGCAGATGTTATTTTGAATTTGCTAACCCTTGTTCATGCATGTATCATATAGTTAGGGGGAGTAAATGTTCTGACCAATCAATGCCAAAGAGGGAGAGTGTTAGAATCTCGGTGGGATTCTAAGTCCACAACACCAAGTGGAATTCTATGGAGATGTGTATTAATATGAGGAACATATTTTCCTTAGTTATCTCATTAGATAATTTGAGAAGAAATAAATTATCTCTCCATATTAATCACCTGAACGTGTCTATCCAAAATAGAAGGAATTCCATCTTTTTATTATTATTGTGGTAATTGTCATTAATTGGTTTCCTTGTTTTATTTTCAGAGCTTCACAAGAATATAAAAGGAGGAGCTAATGCCGACGTTATTTGCTGAGTCTCTTATCACGTGGATAATTTACCACGTTGTCATCCACCGCCTTCCATGTCTATCAAGCCGAGTAAGCAAAGGGGAAGAATGAATGCATTTACAAGAGGAGCTGCCTAAGGATCATTCACAGAGGGAGATACACATGCAGGGGGAGCTGACTCCGTTGTGAACCACCTGCCAAAGCCACTACTGTGGGAACATTTGCTGAAACTGTGGCACTTACTGTTGCAGCAGTTGATGCCACTCTTGTTGTTGAAAAGAGTTGATGATGATCTTTCGTTTTATTTGCTTCGGTCTAATCATCTGATTGTTTTATTTTCAGGTTTTTTACTCAGCGGGACAAAATAATTATAATCAATAAACGACAAAGGGGGAGATTGTTAGAATCCTATGGATTCTAATTGTACGAGAATTAATAAAACTTGTGCCACAAGTTTTCATATACCCTGAGCTAAAGAAGGGAAGAGTCCTTGTAGCTTTTAATTCTTTTAATTTGTCATTAATTGATTTATAATAGGAATTATTCTTCTAAAGAGTTTCCTTGTTTTGAAAATATTATTTCCTACGTAATTAAGAGTTTCCTAACCCTAATGGACTCTTTTTTCCTTGTAGGATTCTTATAACATGTAGAAGTATAAATACAGCAATACGGCGCCTCAGATCTCACGTCTTCCCAGAGAGAAAAATTTACGCAGAATATTTTCTTTACTCTCGTTTTTATTGGCGTCGTTTTGGAGAGAAGCCGATCTCTCTTTTCTTGGTTGCTGTAGCACGCCTTTTGTTGGAGAAGAAAAATTATATTTTTCCGCTCTTATTTTTGCTGCTCACGGAGCGTCTTGTTAATCGAGAGAAGATTTCAGAGAAATATTTTTTTCTCTCTCGTTTTTATTGCTCTATCGTGATACGTGATTTTCATAGAAAATATACCGGCTTCAAGGCTTGTGGTGAAGACACAGATTCAAGGAGTATCACAAGTTTGCTTCTTCTATACAAAAAGAAGATCGGTTCTTCGGGAGAGGGGCTTAAACAGATCTCGGGAGGAGATCGATCCGCCGACTGAGGGATTCAGCGTTGAAGGGAGTTCAACCGTGCGGAGCAAGGGACGTGCTGCAAATTGAAGATTTATAATTCAGCGTAGTATACAAGAACGGCGTCAACAAAGAGGGAGTCTTTGTATTTTGATTAAGTCCTATTATTGTATTCGTAAAACTAAAAATTAGTAAATTTTATTTGCAGGTCCCCGTGGATGTAGGGTACAGTTGTATCCGAACCACATTAAATTTGTGTCTCGTTTATTTCTGTTTTTACAAACTGTTTCACGAACTGTTGCAACTCTTCACGCAACAGTAACGAAAAACTGAATCTGACACAAATAATTTATATCTGCACGAAATAAATTCTAACAGTACCGAATAACAAAATTCCAAGAGACCCTTATCAAATGTCGAATCGAATTTTTTATTTTGAATTTGTGGTTCCGTTCATTTTATCTGTTCATTTTATCGGTTGAGTGAACACCCTATATTTTTTTAGATCGAAAAGAAAATAGTAGCCCAAAAGGGATAAAAGTTTGATTGATACCTTTTGGGTTTAAATGAAAGTGGAGCCTACTTACTCTCTACCACAGAAAAAATACAGATGGGTGGCGCGTGTACGGTGCGACACTATTTAATTTAATTGTCGACTCTATTCATGGGCGGCCGTTGCCGGTGGCACCACCAATTATTCACAAATCTCCAAACAATTTGATTTCATTGTTCTCTTTATTTGTGAGGATTAATATTTATTAACATTTAGGGATAGTAAGAGCAAAAAAAAAAAAAAAATGTTTAAATCCAGTACTACTCCCTTCGTATCTGGATAATTTTTAATTTTTCATCTTTGCACAAGTATTAAGAATCTTAATAAATTTGTTAATTTTAGGTAAAACACATTAAAAAGATGAAAATAACATTTATCATTTAATAATATAATAAGAGAAAATTAAAATTAACGTTGAAATAATTAGGTTAAAACAAGAAAACGTGCATCTAATGCAGTATTATAAATTTAAGGTGACAAATATATAGAACAAAAATACTTTTAAAAATCACAATTATTATGAAACAGAGAAGTATAATATAGAAGAAGAAAAAAAAATAGAATTAAAAAATGCAGATAAATCATAAAAGAATGAGTATTGGGTAAGAGTTTATAATTGACAACTGGGATTATTGTATGCTACTTCTCTGGTAACATGTACATTTAATACTCCATTAGAATTTAGGGGGTGTATTTGTAATTTGTCAATACTACAGGAGTTTATAAGTTATTTATTCTTATTTAGGGGGGATTCGTAATTTACCCTTAAAACAAAGATGTAACCCTGATTACTAAAGTAAATAAAATTTAGATTTTTT